ATTCAAATTTGAGATTGAAATTTTATTGGTCAGTTGCAATAGTGGAGCCCACATTTTTGTGAAATTCTAAGCAAATAAAACTCACAATTTAAATAACTCAATATCAATAAATAAATTTGAAAAATTTAATGGGCAAAATTGGATAAATTTGAAGACCAATTTTTTTGAATAGAATATATTAAAATTTCATTAATAACTTTAAATGAATAAAAATAATATATATAAGACTTCTCTTCTAAAAATCAGACCGAACAAAGTTGTCATAATTAAAATAATACAGCAAATTTCAATGACCTAATAATAAATCCTAAATTGGAAGGTCAACTTGAAAGAATTGATAGACTTTCAAAATGTCTAGCTAAATAAATATCTGAATCTTCATACATAGCTTTACTATCTTTAAATTACTCCTTTTTTTTCTAAAATATAAGTCGTTTTTTAATGATTATTTTGTTTTAAAATATATATTATTTTGAGTATTTTGATGAGTAATAAATTATCATTTTTAATTTAACCTTTTATTTATAATAGATACAATAATTACCTTTACAAATTACCCTTGATTTTGAGATAAAAAATTGATTTTGTTACAATTTAAGAGACTTAATTATTTTCTTAATTCCCGTGCAAAAACTTTAAACAATTTATATTTTGGATCGGAGAGAATAGTTGCTTAGGACGAATATAAAGAATTTGAACAACTAAATTCAATGAAAGAACAAGCTATATTATTAGGCTTTAAAATACAAACATCATCATTTACTCGATAAATTCTCTATATATTACACACATGTTCAAATAGAAAATGCAAAAAAAAAAAAAAAAAAAAGACGAGAATTAGTTGCTTAGGGACGGGAGTATAAAGAATTTTGAACAACTAAATTCAATGAAAGAATCAAGCTATATATTAGGCTTTTAAAAAATTACAACATCATCATTTACTCGATAAATTCTCCTATATATTACACACATGTTCAACAAATAGAAAAATGGCAAAAAAAAAAAAAAAAAAATTCCACCTAAAATGAAGAACATAAACTAAAAAAAAAAAAAAAAAAAATCCACCTAAAATGAAGAAACCATAAACTTCACATAATATGAAGATGAACAAAAAAATGACAACAAACAAATAAAAACATGAATTAATCAGATTTGTGCTAAAAAAATTATATAATAAACAAAATCCTAACAAAAAAAAAAAAACTGATTATGACGAATATAATAAACAAAAATATATATATATGACGAATATGTTTTAAATAAAACTAATTATGGCATTCATTAGGAAAATCCATAGTGTTATTGAACTAACAATTTCATGGTTTGATAACCTAATTGGAGACGTTGAAAAGCTGGTGAATAAAGCTCTCACGTTGTTTTTCATTTTTTATTGTAAATATAATACCAAAAAATATTGAATAAAAGGAAAGGACAACCGTACAAAATTACCAAGTTAATGTATTCAAATCAATTATATATATTATTTCCATTTATATAATGATAATTATAGTTAATAATTGAACCTTAAAGTGATTAAGTTGTATTAAATGCCATTTGACAAAGAATAAAAAAATCTTAAACAATCCAATTGTAATTTAGGAACATAATTAATCAAATTAGAGGACAGCAGTGTTAAACCTTAATTAATTAACGAGTGTACATTTAATACAAAATATATTAGTTGGCAAAGAAAAAAAAAAATGAAAATGAAACCTTATTCCTTTCTATTTGGATCTGAGTTTTATACATGATTAAGTTATTACTATATGAATTGACTAACAATCAATTAATGCATTACAATCTCTCTCTCTCTGTATAGTTATCCCATGCCAAATGTCTGAAATTGAAGAAAAAAATTGTCAAATTGGTCCTCTAATATAGAGAGAAAGGGAGAATAAAATGTCATATTAGCCCTTAAAAATATACTAGATTTTCAAATTTAGTCTTTAAGATTTGATTGAAATCAATTAGGTTCTTTAATTGGGAAAATATAACTAATAAACAATAATACTTCTGGAGATAACTTACCCCAGATAGGTCATACAATAATCATGGAAGAAGACCATCAGTTGGCTAGTAATTCGATCAATTAAATTTGTATGGTTAAAACTTCAAAATTCTATTCGATACTTAAAAATTAAATTTAATAAATTTAATATATTTCAAATATCAATTGGACTCTTTTAATTCTTTTTTTCCGACTAATCTAAATTCGCATCAGCAGACCCACAAAGGTACTTTATTCCAAATGTTTAAATAGATTTTATATCTAAGGTTCGAACTCGAGATCTGTAATTAAGAAAGAGGGGAGCTCTGATATTCTATCTCACCCTCAGGGTTGAACTCTTTTAACTTTCTAATTAATAACAATATATGTTATGTTTTTTTATTTCAATTTATGGTAGTATTACAACTCACTTTGATAGGTAAGTATTCAATTGAATGAGTAAAAAATTTAAGGTAAAATTACAAATTTACAAAAAAGTTAAGATAGATTTGATTCTTAAACATCTCTTGTTCTGTCTCAAATCTCAACCAATTGAATGATTGATCAAGTTAATATAAGTTTATTAATTGTGAAAGAATGCATATGGTCCCGCATTGTGTTTTTGCTATTTAACCAATTGAAAAGGGTGTTAATCTAATTGTTACTTTTAGTAGAATCTTGCATTTGAATAAATCTTCAATTTCTAATTAAAATTTAATTCTTTGGTTCAGTATTTGAAAAATACTAATTATTAGTATATTAATTATTTAGTCTTTGAGTTTAAATAAAAATTATTATTACATTCTTGGCAAAATCATTAATTCGATCATAATATTTAGCGACATTAAACTATTTACTGCTTGTGTTCAAAAAAAGTTTTATAAGTAGCTTTTAGTGGTAATATTCGTACTAGCATTTAGCGGTGAAAGAGTGTTTCATAAAAGGCTATTCCTTTTAATGTTTAGCCTTTAATAATAATTAATTAAAATTTTTAAAATTATTTTATATATATATTTTTTGAGTATTGGGGAGGGGATTCAAACCCGAATATATTGTCGCGTCGTATATGCATTTACTACTAGGCTATAATTTATTATGCAAATTAATTTATATTTAATAATTAATCAAATAATTATTTTTATGACATTTTAAATTATTATATAAATAATTAACCACTAAGAGTTCCAATATTACAGTAGCGAATAGTTACTACAACGACTATTGTTACCAAACAAGGCCTTACTACTTCCATCAAACAATCTCTAAATTTCATTTTAACGTTTGCAAAGGAATTATTTTTGCACAAGATAAAAAAAAATGAAAATGATTCTTGTTTGCACGAAAAATAAATTTAAATTAGATGATAAAACTAAAAACTAATCGCTGAAAATTTAAAAGTGACATTTTAAGTAATTATATAATATTTTCTCACATTAGTGTATTTGAAATTTGTCTTTAAAAGAAAGAAAATATTTACTCTATTTGGCGAACAATTAAAGCAAATCTTAATATTTAATATATTAATCATGTCTGATCTTATTATTTTTTTTATATTTTCTATAAAATCTGAGTATAAGGTTTCAGATTTGAATCTTATTGAGCACAAAAGTGTTTATTAATTTAATGAGCTTAAAATATGATTAACCATGTTATATAATGTACAATATTATTTTGCATCATTAATTTGGTCTTCGAATGATTAAAAAATGAAAATCTTAATATTTTTGAAAAAATATTAAAATAGGAATTCTTTTCTTTCTTTTTCTTATTCAAGAAAGAAAATTTAACCTACGAATTATAATTTAGTTGGCAATACAGACTAGACATATGGGAAGAGTTTTTAGATTCAATCTCCACTAAATACACCTGCAGAAAAGAGGGAAAAGCTATAACTAGGACTAAACCTCAAACCGAATTAGTCAGTCTCTGGTAACTGGATCTAAATATCGATAGTTTAAAAAGAAAGAAAGAAAGTTTAACCATTAAATATAAAAATGTTAGTAATTGATATGTAATTGTAAGAGAAACAATGTAAATCAATTATAATCCTTGAAGCTAAAATCAGAATATTTTATTATTTTATTATTTTTATCCTTATATGAAATCTAAAATTAGGTATGAAAATGTTCTTCTTGAATTGATAACATTCTATTTTTAAATTTTTTTCATTGAAAGATTAACATATAAAATTTGAATTTCTAAGACAAAAACAAATAAATCCTTAAAAGTGGGATTGATTCACTTTTCCAACAAAATTTAATAATCAAATATATTTAAATACATGATAATGTTTTTTTAACAAGATTAAGAAAGAGCCAAAGTGGTACACAGTTTCCTAGCTAGAAAGGAAACTATCACGTGCATGGTCAAGAGCACGTGCAATGCACAATGTACATGGAAAAGAGACAAATGTAATTGATTAATTTTTCAAAAAGAAGGGAAAATCATGAATTTTTTACAAGCTATCTTCACACTTATTTGCATGCCATTTTTTTATTTTTTATTATTTTTTTAATGTGTACGGTTTATAATTATGAGATTGGGACTTGATTATGGATGGACCAACCGGCCGTCCTTCATTGCTATCTTTAGACGTGAATAATTGAAAAAGGTTAGAGAGTGTTGAAATGAAATGGTCCTATTTCCATCTAACTATTGATTTTAGCATCTAAAATCCCCTTTGGTGGGTTTATTTGTCTTTCAATATGCGCCATACTTGCTATTTAATTATTGAGAATTCACAAATTTATTTATTCAGTTATATAGTATTTAATTAATCTTTAAATGTTTAAATATTAATTTATAAAAAATTAATCTAATAATATTTAACTTTTAGTGTTTTACGAGCGTTCGTGCGATGATAGATAGTTAGGGATAAAAACTTTTGGCACCACAAGGGCAAGGCTAATTGATAAAAACTTTTGGTAAGCAAAGAATGTAAGAATAGGCTCATGAGTAGTAGTAGATATGAAAAGGAGATTCCTAATTCAAGAAATTGATGTGTTGGTTAAAGTTGTAGAAGAAATGGAAGGACACTTTTTCGACATTACCATAATACTGAAATGGAACAAAAGTTGAGAATATATCACAAAAAAGAATAGAATGAGAACAAATGAAGCAGTCTCAATAAAGGTTCAAAAAAAATAAAAATAAAAATGGAAATTCTTGACTTGGTCACTATCATTTGAGGTCACAGATAGAGCAGCAGCAGCAGCTCCTTCTCCTTTTTCAGGATTTTTATCTGAATCCAAAAAGCTAAACATTAAAACCAGAAAACTTATAGAAGACCAGAAACATTATAACAACTGAAACTGTGTATTTACACATTTATAACAAAGTTAAAACAACATTTTAGGTATAAAATAACAGAGAGTTTTGCAGGAAGGGGGAAGGGTACATTATACATGCATTAAATGGTAGAGATACAAAGATGGTCCCTTTTTTTTTTTTTGGCTTTTTATGCCATTTTCAAGTGGTAAAAGAAGAGGGAAAATTTTGTGGCAATCATCACCACCATCTTCTTTCTTTCAAAGAATTCACTGGAAAATTTTGGTTCATTGAATCTACTACTGCTTGCCTGGTTCAGGGTCTTCTTTTATGCTCATTTCTACCATTTGAACTGCACTAAAGCCTCCATCTTCGTTGGCAATTGTGGATTGTGAGTCAAGGCCTGACCCTGCTTGTATTTCTTTAAACATTGCCATTACTTGAATCATAGTAGGTCTTCTCCATGGCCGATCATCCAAACAAGCACACGCCACCCCTAAGTGTCGTAAAAGCTCAATCTTTAGACTCGGATCTTCTTTCACTAGTACCGGATCGAAAACATCAGCTATTTTCAATTTTGCGTGCTGCTTCACCCACCCCACAAGATTGTTATCACCAAAATCAGCTGAATCTGTTGGCCTTTTTCCTGTTAACAACTCCAACAAGACTACACCATAACTATAAACATCACCTTTCGTTGAACATCTAAAGCTTTGGTAATATTCAGGAGGAACATAGCCAGGCGTGCCTGCCAATGTACTAACACTCAAATGTGTATCAACTGCATTCATTAGCCTTGCCATTCCAAAATCAGACACTCTTGCCTCCAAGTTCTCATCAAGCAACACATTGCTTGATTTCATATCCCTATGAATGATGTGCGGTAAGCAATTATGATGAAGAAAGGCTAATCCTCTTGCAGCACCAATGGCAATCTTTCTCCTTGCAGCCCAGTTCAATTTGACTGCTGCTTTCTTTTGATCATGCAAAACATCTTCCAAGCTTCCGTGCTTCATGTATTCATACACCAAGAGTCGCTCTTCTCCGACTTTGCAGTACCCAAGAAGTGGAACAAGGTTCCTGTGCTTGATTTTCCCTATGGTCTCCATTTCAGCAGTGAATTCCCTATCACCTTGTCCACTTATATGTTTTAGTTTCTTTATGGCCACAATGCTTCCTTCTTTCAGTTGTGCTTTGTATACATCACCAAAACCTCCAGACCCTATAAGGCTGTCATTGTGGAAACCATTTGTTGCTTCAAGAAGATCTGCGAAAGTGAGCTTCCGCAATGGCTTCTCAAATGTGGCAAGGTTGATGTTCAATGCTTCACGTGCACCAATTAGCTTCCAGCTAGTATTTGCTATCCCCGAGTGTGAATTGTTGTCTATATAGACATCAAGCACTGAATCTTTCTTTTTTCTCCGTTTCTTTGTTTCAACAGCAACTATAATCAAAGCAAAGATACAGAAGAGTGAAAGCAACAATCCCATTGCCACACTCCCTACAAGAGATGCTTGCCTCCTATGAGATTTCTGATGCTGAGAATTTGCACTTGAACCTGATCCTGCTCCACATGGCGAAAGTGGTATCCCACAGAGGCCTGAATTGTTGGCAAAACTAGAAGCTTGGAATGTTTCAAACTGACCAGATTCTGGAATCGTTCCAGTGAGATCATTGTTGGACATATCAATATCCGTTAGCAATGAGAGCTTAGTCATAGACTGTGGAATCTGCCCTTCCAGCTTATTGTTAGAGAGGTTCAGAATGTTAAGACCGTCTAAACTCCCTAGCTCGTCTGGAATGTTACCAGAGAAATTATTGTGACCCAAATTCAAGACATAAAGATAGGACATAGTCCCAATCTCCTTTGGAATGCTGCCAGACAACATATTGTATGAAAGATCAAGAAAGATCATCGAACCATTATCATTGAATGTAGGCTGTGTATGACCTCCATATACTCTAGTGAAGTTACAGGGGTGCCTAGTGGAAATTCTATCCAACTGTTCTGACCTGATTCCAGCAAACTCGAGCAAATTACCTTCGCCATGGCACCATTCACTCTTCATATTCTTAAGATACACATATCTCTTTCCAGGGAAAAAATTCACAGCAATGTTGCCAGACTGTTTGAATAGCTCAGGTGGGATCGTACCATTCAAGAAATTTGTATTAAGATCCAACCAAATCAAGCTACGACAATCACCAAGCTCTGGTGGGATTCTGCCATAAAATGAGTTGTTGCTTAGTTTAAGGATAGCAAGACTCGAAAGCTTTCCAATAGATGCTGGAATTTCACCAGTCAACCGATTGTTAGACAATGAGATCCAGTTCAGCTTAGTACAGTTGCTTATGCCAGAAGGTATAACTCCGGTCAACTCATTGAAGTCTAGAATCAAAGTCTCCAGGGTTTGTATGTTCATTATCTCTGGTGGGATATCTCCATGGAGCTGATTAAGCCAAAGCTTCAAATCACGAAGCTTAGACAGCGAACCCAAGCTAGAAGGGATTGTGCCTGTGAGATAATTGAAGCTCAAATGAAGTGATGTAAGATGAGAACAGTTGCTCAAACTAGCAGGAATAGACCCAGTGAACAAATTGTTTTGAAGAAACAATTCTTTCAAGTTGTTACTTGGATCTTGACACAAACCAGTAGGGATAGAACCAGATAGATTATTCGAACTCAGATCTAAAGACTCCAGATTGGTGAGCTTTGACAAAGAATTAGGCAAACCACCAATCAACTTATTAAATGAAAAATCAAGACTCTTCAAACTAGTCAGTTTCAAAAGAGTATCAATTGGCAATTCACCAGAGAAGTTGTTCGAAGATATATCAAAAGATTCCAATGAAGTACAAGCAGCAAAACTACTAGGGGTAAAACCAGTAAGATTATTTGAAGAAAGATCAAGCTCAACAAGACCTGGACAAGCTTCAATGAGATGCAGAGGAATCTGTCCAGAGAAATGGTTGCCACCAAAATAAAGAAACTGCAAATTCCCAGTTGGAACCGTTGGAATTGAACCTGAAAACTGATTAGTAGACGCATTCAAAAAGTTGAGCTTAGTACAACCATTAATTGCACGAGCAAGATCACCAGAAAACTCATTTGAAGAAATATCAAGATGCTCCAAAGCCAAACAATCACCAAATGAAGGAACAACCATGGAGAAATTATTTGAAGAGACGTCAAGAAACTCTAGAGACTTGCAATTAGAAAAATCCAAATCTCCCCTAACTTTATTTCCCCTCAAGGAAAAGTAACGCAACTCATTGCAGCCACCAGTGAGAATAAAGGGCACTACATTAGTGCCTATAATCTTATTAAAAGAAAGATCAAAAGACTCCAAGTTGGTAAGCTTTAACCCACTAGATTTCCCTTTTAAAGAAAAATCAAGTGAGTTAAAAGAAAGATTCAAAGATTTCAAGGATACACAAGAAGCTAAACTAGCTATATCAGAGATAGGACCTGATAAAGCATTACAAGATAGATCTAAGTTGCTCAAAAATGAACTGCACTTAGATCCAGAACGGAAAGAAATGAGACCAGAAATATTTGATGATTTTAAAGAAAGAGTCTCAAGCTTGTCAAGAGTGAAAAGAAATGCAGCCACTGTTTGAAAATCAGTATTTAAAGAAATGAAGGAGAGGTCCACAGAAGAGACTCTGTTTGTTTCTTGGCATTTAACTCCATTAAAGGTACACGGATTTTGGTTAGGAAACCAATTAGAAAGAAGAGATGAGTCGGGGAGAGAGTTTTTGAAGTTGATAAGATTTTGGGTATCTCTGTTCGTAGAGATAAAAGGTGGCGATACTGGTGAAGCTTCAAGTTGTAGTTGCAGAGAGAGAAAGGAAAGAGAGATATGCAAAAGAGAGAAATGGGTTTTCATTTTTGTCCAGATCGGTGCTCAAAAAGACACAGAAACGTGGTGGTTTAGTTCGGGTTTGAGAGCTGCCATTAGAGGATGAGCTACAAGCTCTGGTTTTAGAGAGAGAAAGTTTCTTTGCTTTTATTATATTAGAGAAAGAGAGAATGACAGAGTCAAAAGACGGAGTAAGGAATGTGAGAAGGGTATTAATCTAATCATCCAAAGCTTTCCTATTTTATTTTTTATTTACCAAAATAAAAATATTAGCCGCAATTATCAAGAGCGACTATTTAATATTTCAATGAATTAAATTTAAATTTTAAAAAATAAAAAAAAAAATTTAAGTATCCCACACCCATAAATTAACTTTAGCCTCAATTATCAACTTAATTTTACCATTTCCATTTGCACAGCTACCATTCGTAGTATTTTTGTACCTAAAATACTTTCTTAGACTTGCTTTATCTATTTGCCTCAAAAATAAAATTATAAAAAAATTAAAATATCTAAAATATCATTAACATAAGGATGATTGAATTACTTTTCAAAATAGATCAATAAAAACTTTCAAGACTTCGAAAAAAAAGAAAGAGAAAAATTTCCTCAAATATCTATCTATATATATAAATATATAATTTTTAAGACTTAAATATTAGCCCCAATTATTAAGAGCGACTATTTAATATTTCAATGAATTAAATTTAAATTTTAAAAAATAAAAAACTCAAATTTATTTTACCATTTCCATTTGCACAGCTACTTATATGCTTATTTTACAAATTATTTAGTTTTAATAAAATTGTGACTTACTATTCTTCTTTTTTTTTAATTTCAAAATATTGAAAATAATTTTGGTCATTTGTCTTTTTTTTATTTCAGTTAAAGATATTATTAAACTACTTTGTATATTTGAAAATAAATGTGATTTTTTTAATAAAATTAAACTTCAATGATATAATTCTAATTAATAAAATTAAGTGTAAATATGGAAAAATACTTAGAGTTAGCAGAAATGAAATATATTTATAAATAAATTTTTATTTATACAAAAAAAATTAAAATTAGGGTAAATTTACTCTATTATTTGAGTATTTTCTTGTAAAATTATTGTTGCGTGCAAAAATAAACTCAGCATACTATTTTATTGAGATAATCATACTATTTTTATTGCTAAACCATAGCAAAAGTGTTAGTTTTTTATAACTTCAAAACTGTCTCTTTGTCTCTCTAGCTTTTTATTTTTTATTTATTTTTTTATTTTTTTATTTATAGTATTTTGAAGTGTACGTGTGATGAACAATTTAACCATCTCCATCAAGTATCAACTAATGGGAAGTGGGAGATTCCATCTCCTAATAAATTAATTAATTAATTAATTAATTAATCAAGTGGATTTTTGGCATTTATATAAAATTACCCATCTTTCTATAAGAAGAGCACTCCTTTTTCTTGCATTGGGAAAGTTGAAGGTGGTAAAAGTTATTTTATTATTATTATTATTATTATCATTATTATAAGAAAGGAGTATAGGAAAATGCCCCCACACCACCATGTGTCCATCACCAATCTACTAAAAACTCACTCCTCTTAATTTGTGCATTTGATCTTTTTGGCTTTTTTTTTTTTCTTTTATTTATTTTTTTTCATTTAATATTCTTTTCAAGTCTTTTAATTCAATAATAAAGTAATATTAATTTTGCTATTCATATTTTATTTACTTATTTATATGGCTTGATGAAATATATATTATTCACACAAAAGTTAAAAAATTTATAGCAAAAATTGAATTCTAGCTAACAAAATAAAGAATGAATAAATATTATTTTATGTCTTGTTTGATATAATAAACTATGAATAAAACCCATTTACAAATGATAAACTTCAATTACTTATGTTAAATTTTAGAAAATTTAGTTTTTTTTTTTAAGTGAAATAAATATTTTTTTTATTTATATTATTATATGTTTAATAATAAGTAATATTTATTTATATCCTTATGGGTCCTACCACAATGTAATGATAATGTTAACTTTAAATGCAACTAAATTTGATCCCACACGTGTGGTTCCAAAAATTTGCTGCTTTTCCCATATAAAGGTTAGTGAAAATCACTTCATTGACCCAATATGAAGTATTATTATTACATAACCATCATCATGTTCCTAAATTTTGTTAAATAGTGACAAAGTCCATTAATTTGTTGGACCATTTTATGTAAGAAGTCAATTTCTTGATTTAGGTATTAAACTGTTAGCTTTACTTTTAATGCTCTAAGAGATTTTTTTCTCTTTTTTTTTTTTCTTTTTTTTTTTCTTCCAAGAGTTTATAATTTCTATGTCACATATTTATCATCTTTGTCAAATTAGTTAGATAAAGGGATTTTTGACAAAGTTGTCAAAATTGATAAAAAGAGATTTCGGTGCCATCAAATATTGACTTTGTAAGAGATTATAAGTGATTGTGATATATAATTTTAAATTTGAAAATTCATTTATTATAATATTTAATATTATTATTTTATATTATAAATACGAGATTAACTTGTTTGGAAATTAATGCGAATAGGAATTTTTGCTAAAACGAGAGTAATTTTTTACTAGAGAAAAAAATAAATTAAAAATAATTTAAAAAAAATTTTATTTCCATTGATTTTTTTTTTATAGGCAAGACTGTGATCTCGGTTTAGACATGTATAATATTATAAACAAAGAAAAAAATTATTCACGGTAAATGACCGGCAATAATTTACATTAATGATAGTATAAGAATCTTTTCATGGAGAGAAAATAATAATAATAACAATAATTTACATTTTTTGTCTATATCAAGTGTCTTATCCATTGGATTAAGACTAATTTTACTTATATCATATTTTTTTCTCCATCTATAACTATCGAATTCTCGATCTCTTTACTTAAAAGATCTGAATCTTTTTCATTCAACCAATTCTCATTGGTTAAATTTTATGATTTTCATTTTTTCTTTTTTAGAACAATGATGTTAATAATGATTAATAACTATTAAAAATTACTGTATGTATACAGTATTAGAAAGTATTTTCCATAAATATAGATGTATTTGGTACTTGTCTTTTTCATCAATAGTCTTTATATATGTGAACGACTATACCACAAATTATTGGAGTTACAGTTTCTTTGTTTACATATTAATTTATAACTCAAAAATACTTTCTTTTGCTAAAATTTGAAACTGTCTTACCCAAGATATAATTTATAATAACATGTATTGTGAAGTACGCAAGAGAGTGTTGAATCATACTTAATCAACGGCTTAGTTATAACATGAAAAGAAAGAGTTGCATGCATTTTTGTTTCTAGAATTGGGGGAGAGAACCGGAGTTTCTTTTCCACAATTTTTTTATTAATTTATATTATAAACTTGTGTTTACATATTGTATTAAAATTATTATTTAAATTCAAGTAATTTTTTTTAATAAATTGGTGGCTTTTATAGATAAACATAATATTTGGGCTATACAATAAGGGATAGCTCATCTAAACTTATTCAATCCATTAAAACAATTATTGTCGAAAGGATTCAATCTCAAGACCTCCCACCACTCGTATAAATGAGAAGACCGATCAGACTATTGTCTGATTGGCTCAAGTAATTCTTTTTTTTGTTTACTGGAAACTAAATGGTAGAAATAATATTGTAAATTGTTGAGTAATTTTCAATAATATTCAGTAGATTAGTAAAAATAATTATAATCCCCCTATTTAAGTTTGAATAATTTAATAATTTTTAAAATAATAAATAATATTTTTAAATTCCACTTATTATCTTATGAGGAAATACTATAGTAGAAATCGACATACGATGGGCGTTAAATTTTTTGTTCCATCAAATTTTAAGAAAATATAGATATCCTTTTAATTGAAATTTGCTTATTTAATATACGAAAAATTCTTTTAAAAGCTTTATACTTTTATTTTTTTCATTAATTAAAAAAAAGTAAATATGAGTTGACGTCACAGTGGCAAGATTGTCCTATTGGCGCTCGTGTAACAAAAAGGCTGCCTCAAATTCTGATCACTTTTAATTCTCTCCTTGCAACTCTACTTAACGGCGCGTACACTTCCCAACTCTCGCTCCACCTGGGGCCCACACTTACCCACAACTGCCAAAACAAACGCTAGCATTCAACGAAACGCCTTTGAACCCCCCCCCCTCTCCACCTCCACTAACCGACAAACGACAGTAATCAAATAATTAGCGCGTGTATTACACACTATATATAGTTTGCTGGGAATTAATTATTTTCCTAGTTTTACTTGCCAGTTTTAGTACTGTACTTCAGGCCCCATGGCCTCCAGCTAATCATGACCGTTGATTCCATTTTGACGGTCAAGATTTCACTGGTTAATTTAAAAGCGTCACTGATTGTACTTGAGGGACAAATAATTCAGCTCTTGTCTTCTATAATATCTAGCAGTAAATCTAATACAGTAATAGTACTCCTTTCTGAATTTACTTTATTATCCTGATTTTCCAAGAGGATTTGCCCGTAGATTTGGGGGTATTTGTGTATTAGTACTTCTCAGGTGCTCCTTGAGGATGACGTGGAAAATATATGTCATTTCTGTTGTTAAAACGGTTTTAAATTTCAACTTGTTCGGGGTCATTTTCGTCAATATATATTTTTTGTCGCTTGTGGTTAGAAAATTTTGCAGGATGAGTTGTCATTATGATTTATTTTTTCCAATTTTTTAATTTTATTTCAAATATTGATGGTTGGGGTTTGAAATTATCTAATTGGGCCATTTCTGGTTTTGGCCCAGAAAGTGGCAAGTTTCTTTGTGTTAACTTGTTAAAATAATTATGGTTTAAGGCTTAACTAAGCATAGTTAACTGAAAATTTGTCCCCAAGATTCGTTTACTTGATAAAATACAACAGAAGAGGGATAGAGAAATGTAATAACTAATTTAAAATCAACAATTAAAAAAAAATTAGTGCTTGATACAATAAAAATTAAAATTGAAACTGAAAGTGTGTGTATATGGATAGAAGAAATGTTAATAACTAATTTGTAAAAATTCAACAATTAAAAAACAAAATTAGTGCTTGATACTGAATAAAAAATTTAAAAAATTGAAACTGAAGAAAAGACTGTGTGTATATATAATTATATATAAACTTATAGTAAAAGTATAATAGTATATGCAC